TGGCATCACCGACTCGATGGACATGAGTTTGAGTAAACTCCAGGAGTTGGTGATGGACAGGGAGGCCTGGCGTGCTGCGATTCATGGGGTCACAAAGAGTCGGACATGACTGAGTGACTGAACTGAAAGAACTAGCTCAAAAAATACCCTCTCCAGGTTTTTCCTGGGCTCCCAGTTAGAGCTCATTTCATGGCCTGTTCTTGAACAGTTCCTAGTGAACACACGACAAATATTTTTTGAATGAATAGTTGCCTTATAGTTCTGTCAATGACTGTCTCTCCCTGCCCAGGAAGCCAAAACCCTGTTTGGTTCACCTTTGTTGCACAGGCACTGGCTCAGAGCCTGGCATTCAATTTGTATAGGTCCAATATTTTTAATATCTTTGCCCTCTAGGAGCTGAGAATCTAATTGAGGAAACAGAATTGATCCAGAAAGACCTGAGTTCAAATTTGCAACATCCTTTTTTAGCTAGGTGACCTTGAGTGAGTTCCTTTACTTCTCTGGGCCTCATTTACCTCATCAGTGAAATGGGCACAATACTTTTCATCTGCATACTTCATGGGGTTGTCATGAGAAGCCATGGAAGTAACAATGTTTGTGGAAATGCTTTATAAATTGTTAAGAGCTGTAGAAATGTAAGCAGGAGAATGTTATTAATAATAACAGCAAACAATTATAAACAGTTACTCTGTGCTTGGAATTATTCTGACAGCTTTCCATGTATTAGTTCATTTCAGAGGGCCTCAAGACCACAGGAGTTAGGAAACTGAGGCACACAGAGATTAAGAACTTGCCCAGTTAATTGCAAGTGGCAGATCTAAACTCAAGAAGCTTGGCACCCTCACCCACACTATTTCCTACCATGCTATGCTGCCTCCTTTTACTGTTCCCGCTAATAACATTACAGACATAGGTTCTGAGTTTTGAGGGCCCAACAATGAGTATGGTAGAATTTCAGGTAGCTGGGAGCCTGCTGAGGGCTGGAGGTTCTGAAGAAAAGGGAATTTAAACTGTCCCTAAAGGACAGGTAAGAATGTAGGACAGGAGAGCAGAGGGTGAGCATTCCAGGCAGAGGGACTAGCAGGAGCAGCCGTTAGAAACAGCACCGAGTTTTCTGTATTTGGGGGACAGTGAGTAGGCCAAGCTGGCTCAAAAAAGAAATCTGCTGATGAGAACAGGGGAAGAGTATTAAATGCCATACATGGATTTTGGAAGGTGAGAAGGAGATACTGAATATTTGCTCATTTTATCTGTAAACCCTTCAAAGGTGTGTAACCTTCAAAGGTGTGAGAAACCAAAAACAGTCCCTGAGTTGACTTCTTCCTGGAGGAAGAAGGGGAGAGGGGCAAGGTCTTGGCCAGTCATTCCCACACCTTCCCAAGGATGTTGGGAGAAGGAAGGGGTAAGATAAATGGTGTGAGATGAAGGCCTGACCCCCAGTGGTGGCCTTGTAGAACTGCAGATCCGTGAACCTCAAATGAAGCAGTAGGGACTACCCCCCATCCCCAAGTTGAGTTCAGTCGTTCAGTTGTGTCTGACTCTGTGCGACCCCATGGACTGCAGCACGCTAGGCTTCCCTGTCCATCACTAATTCCTGGAGCTTACTCAAACTCATGTCCATCAAGTCAGTGATGCTATTCTCTGTCTTCTTCTCCCACCTTCAATCTTTCCCAGCATCAGGGTCTTTTCAAATGAGTCAGTTCTTCGCATCAGGTGGCCAAAGCATTGGCATTTCAGCTTCAGCATCAGTCCTTCCAATGAATATTCAGGACTGATTTCCTTTAGGATGGACTGGTTGGATCTCCTTGCAGTCCAAGGGACTCTCAAGAGTCTTCTCCAACACCACAGTTCAAAAACATCAATTCTTTGGTGGTCAGCTTTCTTTATAGTCCAACTCTCACATCCATACATGACCACTGGAAAAACTATACCTTTGACTAGATGGACCTTTGTTGGCAAAGTAATGGCTCTGCTTTTTAATATTCTGCCTAGGTTGGTCATAACTTTCCTTCCAAGGAGCAAGCGTCTTTAATTTAATGGCTGCAGTCACCATCTGCAGGGATTTTGGAGCCCCCAGAAATAAAGTCTGTCACTGTTTCCATTGTTTCCCCATCTATTTGCCATAAGTGATGGGTCCAGAGGCTATGATCTTAGTTTTCTAAATGTTGAGTTTTAAACCAACTTTTTTACTCTTGACTTTAACTTTGAGGCTGACACACAGTCATCTCAGAGCTGTATAGGCAGGGAAGGGTCCCTCGGGTTAATACTCCTAAACTGGGCCTCCTGTGTGAGCAAGCTGTCTATGAAGGGAGCCACTGTACTGTCGTGTAGTTTAGAGTGCAGGCTCAGTCAGGATGGCTGAAAATTGAAGATCTGACACTTAGTGATCTTGGAGATTTGCTTAAACTCCTTTTGCCTAGTTTTCCCACCCATAATGTGGGGGTAACAGTACCTCTTTCATAGGTTTATTGTGCAGATTCAGTGTGAAGATGTCACACTGCACATTATCTAGCACATACTGAGTGCTCAGTCCCTCACCAGCTGTGGCAGTAGCCCAGAGGCTGGTGTTTCCTGGCTCCTTGACTCAGCAAGCCTCTCTCCACCTGCTACCACACACCACCGCCTGGAGGGAGACTGGAAAATGGGGGAAGAGCTCCAGGACTGCACCTGGGGCGGCTGGGTGGCTCCCTTGGAAGGTTCAGGTTTCCCTCTAGCCCTGGGTTTCTCCTGTCAGCTCTGTAAAGATTCCCAAAGAGCAGGCAGGACTTTGGCAGCTCCAGAGTGAGGCCCCTGCCAGAAGGAAGGGAAGAGCATGCCCATCCTTTCCTGATTTTCCCAACCCAGGGATCGAACCCAGGTCCCCCCGCATTGCAGGTGAATTCTTTACCAACTGAGCTATCAGGGAAGCCCTTCCTCTCCCAAGGAGGTTGATTCTCTGGGTCCTAAAGTCAGCTTCAATGAGTCCCCTCCCCAGAGGGTCATGTTAGGGCTATGCGGCCTTTTTTCCCTGCCCAGGCTATTGGACCTAATCCTCCCTCCCCTGGGCCTCAATTTCCCTGTCTGTGGCCAGGGGGAAGAAGAGTGCTTCTCACCTCTTAGTCTCCATGGCAACCTCGATCAATGTTGGTAGTGTCCTCCTGACTGGAGAGGTCACTGCCTTCTCCTCCCTTATGTTTTCATACAGTTTCATGCAGATACAATTACACAACCACCACAGACCCATACTCCTAACTATAGGATACATTCATATTACCAGTCTTCAGACCCCTATGTCACAACCCTGCTAAAATATAGATACCTCACACTCTATGCACACTCAGAAATACTCCAATACACTCACACACACCACAGACACCCAGGTTACATACCCATATACACCACACACATCCCTAAGACAGGTGCACAATCGTGTAAACACAGAGAGACATATATAAAAGGTATACATTCTCTGCACACAAACACAGGAATATACACACATGAAGACACCCAGACACTCATAACATATTCTTACGCATGTACAGTTCCTAGTTTCTCTGTCTTACAGACACACACACACACTGCCAGCCCCTGACTTCTAAGCATAGGTCTTCCCTCTGCCCCTCTGGCACAGAGTAGCCACAACGTGTCTGAGGGAATCTCCTCAGGGGCAGAGGCAGGTCACTGCTCCTCCCCTGGCCTGGCCTGGGCCGTATCCTTCTCACCAGAAGCTCCGGAGGAGGTATCAATCTATAGGCTGAAGTGGTCCCCACGAAGAGGAAGAGGCTGTGGCTGGGAGGCCTGTGGGGAGGCGGGGTGAGGGGGGAGAGGGAGGAGATCCGGGGAAGGAGCAGGAAGGGAGACTGCAGGCGGTTGGGGAGCCTGAGGGGGAGGAAGCGTGCGTAGGGCGGGCCAGCCTCAGCCTGGGGGGCCATGCCCCAGGCCACCATGAACCTGGAAGGGCTGGAGATGGTCGCTGTGCTTGTGGTCCTCGCCCTGTTTGTCAAGGTCCTGGAGCAGTTTGGCCTCTTTGAGCCTGTCTCCTTGGAAAGTAACGCAGGTATCTGGGCACGTCTGGTCTGCTGGCTAGAGGGTTGGGGACTTTATGACCAGGGTGGGGGCTGCAGGGGTAAGCAGGTTAGTAATGAGATGGGGTATCTGGGGGAGGGGAAGAGAGAAGGTGGGGGAGTAGGACATCATGGAGAGGTAAAGAGGGGGACTCAAGGGGTGGATCTGTGGAGGAAGAGAGGGAATCTGGAAGACCGGGTGTCTGAGGGAGGTGAGGAAAGAGGGTGAGGAGGCAGGGCGGTGGTGAGGGGTACAGCATGGGGGGACTGGGACTGGAGATAAGGAGAAACTGGAGGAATGAGGAAAAGTCTGGAGATAGGCAAGGTATCCAGAATAGAGAAAGGAGGTTCTGGGAATCCTGAGATAACACCAGACTTCTGTGGGGGCGGTCCCCTTTTGGGGCCAGGGACCCACAATGGCTCTGAAGATGTGACTCTCCACACCTGCATCCTTACAGGTTTGGGTCACAGTATGTGTGGACTCAGTGTGTGAGAGATACAGGGGTGGTGTGACTGGGTGTTCACGTGTGTAAGAAAGGACAAAATGTGTGACTACTTGAACCTGTGTATGTGACAGGAATGTGAGTGTGTCTGAGTGACAGTGTGTGTAGCTTTATGACATGGCAAAGGTGCCTGAGGGGCACGGAGTGTGTGGCTGAGCCTCTTGGGGTATCTGATTGTGTGTGTGGCTGTTTCAGAGTTCCTCAGGATATGCCAGCTCCATACCCAAGGCAAAGGATGGGATGGGTTCTGGAGGGACAAGAGTTGGGGATACTGTGACTGAAACATTCATAGATCAACTCTGGTAGGAGAGTGAGGGGTGAGTCAGATCAGGGACCCTGCTTCCCAAGACTCCTTGCCTCTCCTAGGTCCTCTCAGGATCTGAGGGTAGAATGGGCTCCAGAGCCTAGACATTGTGAGTGGGAAGTCAGTTCTCCATCTGACCCCAAAGTCAAGTGGGAAGAGTGATACTGAAGGTAGAGAGGGGAGCAGGTTCTGCCTTCTCCAGGGATTTTTAGCCTCTTCTTTTTCATACCAAGAACTGTGCAACTTCATAGCATGGCTGTTCCCTAGTTCCATTATGGACAGGACTGCAGGGTAGACACGTGGGAGAACTGAAAAGATATAAAAGGAGCTGAGGTCAAGAAGAAGGCTCATGAATTGCCTGCTTTAGGGTTCAGTAAGAGCAGAAAATTCTTAGTCTACCCTCCATCCTCTGCTGCATTTATTGAAGTGGGGTGAGGTGCAGGGATTGGTATTGGATGCATTGGGATTCATTCAGTCCTGAAAAGTTGAAGTCAGTTGGGATCTAACTTGCCATCCCCTTTAGACTGTTGGTGCAAGAGAGGGGTGGACATCCAAGGAAACGCAGACATTCTGTCTGCTGAAGGCACCCCCTTTCTCTCCACAATTCAGAAGAGCCTAGAGGAGACTGAGTCCTTGAAGCAGACAGGGGACCAGATGGGGGCATGTGTGAAGATGGGGAGGTTGGGAGAGGCGCGGGAGCCATCCCCCAGTCCAGAGGCTACTGTACCACCGGAGGCCCCCAGCACAATAGGCTTTGGGAAACCGAAGTCTGGGCTAATGGAGTCCTGGGCCAGGGGCCAAACCGCCATCGATCACCCACCCAGCTCACTGCCTCCCTCCCTCCGCCCCATAGCTCCGGGAGGGAGAGGACAAGTGGGAGAGAGAGGAGGTGCCAACTTCAAGCAGTTCCTTCCCGGGAGCAGAGCATCTTCTTGAGGGTGGAGCCTGGCTTGGGAGGCAGGGCCTGTAAAGGAGCTGGGGTGTCAACCTACCACTAAGGAAGTTGGGCCCCTCCAGGAATGGACTGAAGCCAACTTCAGTCGGTGTGACAGGTTCAGTGAGCTCTGGCCCTGGAGTCTGGAGGTGAGTGCAGCCAGGACACAGACAACAGGAACTTTCAGGGTCTCCCTGGAATACAATTAGAGCCACAGGATACATATATAAGTAAGGGGAAGTGAGGAGGACTGTAATTAGTGGACTCCAGATAGTCCTACATGACAACAAAATACTCATCTCCAAAGTCTGTCATTGCCTCAAAGTTTGCTATCATTTCACCTTCAAAGAGTAAGTCATACTGGAAAGGACTGGGAGGGGACATACTTTTAGGGTGGATGAATTAGCTGAGAACTCTATTCTGCTGGCATGAAGATTCTAGGTGCCTTGAAATGAGGGATTATAGGAAAGAAAGGTCCGTGTGCTCAGGGCAAATGCAGGTTCTGAGGGTAAGGTGCACCTTAGGTATCTGGTGCCATGGGCACCTAGGTTACAATATGATATGAGCATGATGACCATACTGTGACATGATGTCCCAGGGTCATTGTGTGTTCTTTGTGTGGTTTGATCGATCATGCTGTGTGTAAGATAGCCTATATGGCCTACATGTCTGTCTGTTTTTTCCTGGGTCAGTCACATTTCTGTATGTTTGTATTAAAGAGTAAGTACTAGGTCAAAGTAGGTATGTCTCTGTGTGTGTGTGTGTGTGCATGTGTTGGGAGGCCACTGGGTTTGAGTGAGGTACTGGGTATCAAGCTGTCCCTGTGTGGCATCCATCACTCTGTAATTTATTGTTCTATGTATACACACCTGTCACTGTATATGTGTGTGTGTGAGAGAGGTGTCCTTGGGTTGGACATCATCCTCAGAGGTCCAGCTATATAGCACTGGAGCCAAGGACACTGGGTCAACAAAGACTGAGGCCAATATGCCACTTTTCCCCACCCCCACCATCTTGCTGTCCCCAGCTGTGTCCCTTTATACAAGGTGCCCGAGCCATCTTGGTGGACCTTCCGTGCCTGTGAAACCCACTGGACCCCCCTAACCTGCCCCAGCTACTCTCTCCACACCCCCCCCCCATCTTTCCCCAACACCCGCCCCCAGCCGGGGTCGATTTGTGATGATGGGGAGGGTACAGGGAATGGAGGGACAGCGGGGTTAATGTTCCCTCCTGGGGTCTTCTCTCTTCCCAGGCCACCCTCCAGGGCCCACTAAAAAAGCGCTGAAGCAGCGGTTCCTCAAGCTGCTGCCATGCTGCGGGCCCCAAGCCCTGCCCTCAGTCAGTGAAAGCAAGTGCCTCTCCTGTGCTTCCGGGGGTGGGGCCCGTGTGTGCCTGGGGTGTAAGGAGTGTGAGAGTGCGTGTGGGCGTGACCAACTTGGCAGAGGTGGGCTGGGCGCTGGCTGACCCTGGTGTGAGGGGGCGTGATTACCCAGGGAATGTGTGGGCGTGGTCAGCATGGAGGCGGGGCCTAAGTGTGGGCCATCTGGGTCTGAGAAATGGGCGGGATCTGGATTTTGGGGCGTGGTCAGTGTGACAGGCTGAGGTCTCTCTGATCCTGTGTGAGTGTGGCCACGGTGGCAGAGGTGGGACCAGGTGGCTGTGAGGGTCTGTGCTTGGGGTTGTTGTCTGGCCGCCCTCCCTGCCCTTGGGCATGTTTTGGACTTTGAGAGGTAGGTTACCAGTGCCTTGACTAGACGGATACAAGTGTAAGGGCCGAGTCCACCTTCCTTCAGATACCAGGATACTGGAGTTTTATAGGACCAGCCTGGTCTCCAGTTGAGTGACCTCACTTTGTAGGCCTCAGTTTCCTCATTTGGGCCTTGTCCACCTCCCAGGATTATACATACTGCATTTTGCAAGCTATAAAGACCCGGGTTGTAGTCACTACTGGAGAATGTCATTGTGTTTGATTCTGCTGGGTCCCACATGGGGGTAGATTCCGAAAAAGGGCAGGTGTGATATGCATAAGGTCCGATTTGTGTGTGTCTGTGCTCATTCGTTACGTGTGCCTTTGCGTGCGCGCGGAGATGGGGAGTATGCATTGTAACAAGCAGGTCTGTGAGATTTGCTGTGAGTGTGAGGGGCGAGGTGTGTGCAGTTGGCCGTGTCTTCCGCTTTCTCGGTGACAGTTCGCTCCCTTCAGCATTAGCCGCCCCAGCCTCCCTCCGCCCCCACAGACCCCGCCTACTGGACCCAGGTGACTTATTCTCCTGGTGGGGGCGGGTGCGGGGAACTTTGGGAGCCTGGGTTGGGGGCATCTGCCTGGGGACTGGATGTTGGGAACTGGGGTGGGGCTGAGATGGGGCCGGGGTGGTGGCCTTCTCTAAGGCACACTAGGGGTGTGGCAGGAGTTGGGCTATGGATGGGGCTTGGCTGGAGCTGGGCGGGGCATGGCTGGGCATGGCTGGGATAGGCGGGGCTTGGCTGGAGGGCTGGGTCTGGGCGGGGCAAGGGTGAGGCTGGGCGGATCTGAGTTTGGTAAGGGAAGGCCCAGAGTTCCCACCCTCAGAAGCCCCTTCTCCAACCCAGTTTTCCTGCTCCTGTCCTGGGATGAAGATGGGACTGGGGGCCTTCCCCTGCAACCAGGGATCAAGGGTCCAGGGGCCAGCGCTGACTCAGACCGCTGGCTCTGGGGCCAGGCCTGGCCTTGGACTAAGCCCGCTGATAAACTTCGAAGCTGACTTGGTGTCTTCTTTCCTTGCCTTGAAGTCCCTGGCTCGGGATCAGGGGAACTGGCAGGCTGGTCTCCTGCGTCGGAGATGGAGCGGGGGGGTGGGGTGGGGGGGTTGGATAGTTAAGTGATTCTGAAGAGGGATCATGGGGGACAGGCCTGAGGCGCGGCTGTCCCCCCCCCCCCCAACTGCCCCCACCCCGCAGACAGCGTGGAGGATGAGTTTGAGTTGTCCACCGTGTGTCACCGGCCCGAGGGTCTGGAGCAGCTGCAGGAGCAAACCAAATTCACACGCAAGGAGCTGCAGGTCCTGTACCGGGGTTTCAAAAACGTGAGCGCAAAGATCAGTCTAGCTGGGGAGGGGCGGGGTCTGTGCAGGACTTTTCTCGCTTCCGGGAGGGAGGGACAGCTCCTAGCTAGGGACGCCTGCCAGTTTAAGAAGGGAGCCTGTAGGCTGGCCTGTCTGCTCTGTGCTTTTTATTTGTGCGCTTGGGAGATGTCTTCCCTCCAATAGAAGAGCTACATGGTGAGCCCCCTAGAGACGCAAAGACTTCCCACCTCTCTGGGAGTCTCTGACCACAGAGGGTGGGGTGGGAACGTGGGTGAGATGACGGGCGGTAAGTAGAAGATGGTTTCCTCTCTTCCTTTAGTCTGCTTTCCCTCCCCACCCTACCCACAGGAATGTCCCAGTGGAATTGTCAATGAGGAAAACTTCAAGCAGATTTACTCCCAGTTCTTTCCTCAAGGAGGTAAGGAGACAAGTCCTTGGGGAGAGGTTCTGGAGGGGTTGGAAATGCCAAGTTGGGAGTTGGCAGAGCCCCACAGAGGTAGGGAGGTAGGAAGTCTGCTCCTGTCTGGAAGCCAAGCTTGCTCACCACACTTATCCTACAGACTCCAGCACATACGCCACTTTTCTCTTCAATGCCTTTGACACCAACCATGATGGCTCAGTCAGTTTTGAGGTGAGCTGGAGGAGGTGGGCCAGGGAAGCATGTTTCCTGGAACTTCAAGGCCAACCCAAACCCAGGTTGAGTGAAGGTACCTGAAGACTCATTTTCCCCTGCCTCCTTTCTAGGACTTTGTGGCTGGTTTGTCGGTGATTCTTCGGGGAACCACAGATGATAGGCTGAACTGGGCCTTCAACCTGTATGACCTCAACAAGGATGGCTGTATTACCAAGGAGGTCAGGGGCAACTGATGAGCTGGGGGTGGGGGGTTATATGTGTATGGGGACAGGCACAGGGCCCCTGGGGGGGAATGTGACCCACATGTGCATCAGCAAGGGCTGAGGTCTGCCCCAGGCCCCAGGCCTTCTAGTTAGGAGGTTGGAGACTCTGAGGAGGGATCCTCTTCTCTCTTGGTCTAACAGGAAATGCTTGATATCATGAAGTCCATCTATGACATGATGGGCAAGTACACGTATCCTGCACTCCGGGAGGAGGCCCCAAGGGAGCACGTGGAGAGCTTCTTCCAGGTGCCTGGGACTGGGCAGGCTGGGTTTTGGAGTGAAAGGAAGGAGGCAAGGTCCCAGCCGGGAACTTACCCAAGTTCTGCCTGCCTCTCTCCTGTCATCCCTCCTGTTTTCTCTTCCTGACTACCTTTTTTGCAGAAGATGGACAGGAACAAGGATGGCGTGGTGACTATTGAGGAATTCATTGAGTCTTGTCAAAAGGTACAGGGCCCTGCCCTCTACATTTTCCTGATCTGGACTCAGGGCCTGATTCAATGATGTAGGAGAAAGCTCCTTTGGGCAGAGTACCATCTCCCTAACTACCCCCAATTCTGAATCGTTTTCCTTCATAACTTGGGGAGACCTGACCCTTTCCCACCTCTCTGAGTGTCTCCTTCTTCACTGCCTCTCTCTGTCTCTGAAGATCCCTATTTCTAAATCAGTGTTCTTCTCCCTTTCTCTAATAAGCTCTTTTTCTTCCTTTCTCTCCAATCTGCCTCTCCCACCATGGCTACAGGACGAGAACATCATGAGGTCCATGCAACTCTTTGACAATGTCATCTAGCTCCCCAGGAGAGGGGGTCAGTTGCCCTGGGGGGACCATGCTCTAGCCCTAGTCCAGGTGGACCTCACCCTTCTCTTCCCAGGTCTGTCCTCATCCTAGCTCTACCCTGGGGGCTATAGGAACCCAAGAGCCTGGGGATTTAGTGGTCCATACTGCTGGAGCTGAGGAGGGTAGGGAGTGGGCAGAGTGTATCTGTGGGAGTGTTTTCAACTCCCAACAGCTCCCCCTTCCTGCCTGAAACTCAGTGCCGAGGGTGCCCTGTTATGGGAATTGAGTGGTCCTTCCCCTCCCACCCCCCAACTGAGAACCACAACACTAGGCAAAATGTCTCCTGCTATGGTGCTTCCCCCATCCCTGATCTCATAAGCATTTCCCCTAAGATTCCCTTGTAAAAAGGCTGTTCTGTCCTTGGCACTAACTGGCCTTTCATGCCAGGGCCTTTGACAGTGCTGTAGGAGGGGGTCAAGAATGTGGAGGGAGTAACCTTGGGCCTAAGCCAACGGGTAGGCCCTAGGAGGCAATTGCGGTAGAGAGCAGGAAAGCCTGGGGATTGTCAATGACAGTATACCAGTCTATAGCTTTGAGCTCTACAGGTCTGCCACCCCAAGCCATCAGAATATGTGTTTCCAGGCTCTTCAGAAAACCTTGGAAATATCCCCAGAAAATTTCCATGTACTCCTCAGTATCCTAGGAGAACCTGGGATCTGAGTTTTGGCAGATCCCTGGAATTTCTTCCTCTTCTTCCTTCCTGTTTGGGTAGTGGTGGTGGCAGCGGGGGGAAGATAGATGGGAGCTGTCTTGACTGATACCTGCCAAACTTTCGGCCTACCTTCTATGATGGCTGCAACTTAAGTTTTCATTTGTCATTTCCTCTAGACCTGGAGGCATGGAGTAAGTCAGGGACCACCCTGTGGATGCCTTAGGAGAAAAAGGAAGGAAGGAGGCAGACATAGCATTTGAACCCAGTGTGGGGGCATTTTTGAGAATTTTTTATATACCCAGGCTCTATTCCTGCCTCCCCACATAGCCTCCTTATAGCCTACTCAGAGTTTCCTCTTGCTCTAGTCAATCTACCCAGAGATGCCCCTGAGCACACCTTGAAGGCAGGGACCATAGGATCCAGGTCCCACCTCACTGTCAGCAGCCCGGCCACACTGCTACCCTTTAATATATCTGCTTGTCCCATTTAGCTCACTTTCCCAGTCAGCTGTGAACTGAGGGGGAGGGCCCCCAAGGAGCCCCCTTCCCCATAAGAACACTGTTGACTACTTTGCATTTTTGGTTCCTCTGTAATTTTTGTAAAATAAGAAATCACCAGATCCAATAAAACACAATGGCTATGCACAGGTTGATGTCTCTGCCTTTTTGTCCCTCCTACCCCACACATAAACTCACAACCCCTAACTCATACAGCCTTTTAGATCCCAAAGACAATGCTTCCTTTCCTAGATTATGGCCAACCCTTGGCAGGAGATCAAGTCACATGTTCTGGAAGAGTTGGAAACCTCCTGGACCTTAGGAGAGGCTCCTGAATCTCCCTATCCATGGAGGAGACAAGGAAGAGAAAGATGATTGATGTCCCAAAGACTATGCCAAGCCAGCTGTCTTTTGGCTAAACATTCTTTCAAGTCAAATCAAGAATTTCTAATTTACATATTAATACATCTTAGTTAATTTTAAAATGCTTTTAAGAGGGGAATTCCCTTTAGGTTCTAATGAAAGTTCCTTTGTGTAAACATTCCAGCTAGTATAGATGTACATTTGTGTCTGTACTCTAGCCAAGAATGATGGGGGAGCAGATGAAGTAGACCAAGATCTGGTCACCATGGAGCAGTTGACACAAAGGGTAATAGAAGCTTCCTGTGTGGGGTAGGAACCTTTCTTTGTTCTGCTCCTGGAGAGGGGCTGCCAATGCTAAGTTCCTCCCATCCTTTCTCTAGGGTAGTGTTATGCGGTAACTAAGCTTTATAGTCCATAGAAGGGGGATCAGGCCTTCTCTACCAACATTGTAATACACACATTGACAAGATCAAGGGAGGGGTATGGTGTCTAAGAAACAAAACCTTACTTCCAGGGTCCTTCATTTTGTCATGTTTTTGCTGCTCACATCATCACACAGCTGTCTGCTTCTTAGGTCCTTGGGTTCCTTTGGGTCACAACCCCTCCGTAGGATCTAGTTAAATTTGTGGACCTACTGTCTAGAGGAAAAAAATTGCACAGTCTTCCATATGTTTTTGTGTCCCTGAAGCCCATCCATGGGCCCTAATTAAGAACCTATGATCCAGTCTACCTCTGTCTTCCATTGTACAGAAGAGGAAACAGGCCCAAAGAGCAAAGAGCACTTGCTCAAGACCAACCGATAAGTTTATAGGAAGGTTGATACTAGACTCAGTCTCCCAAATCTCTGTACAGGGTGGCCTTGGAGCACAGTAAAAATTTGTGGGTGAAAGATGGATGCTATGCATGTCATGTATAATCGAGACAATGTAACACTGTGACAGGCTGTCCTGTTGCCCTATACTTTTCCTTCCAGGCACTTATCAGTTTGTAACTGTATATTTAAGTGTATTTATTTGAGTGATTATTTGTCTTTTTTGTTACATTGTAAGCTCCTGAGGACTCCTTGAGTGCCTGGACTAGGTTTTTTTCCCCCTTACCATCCTATCCTGGGGCCTGGCAAGTAATAGGCATTTCATAATTGTATGAATAACTGTATGGTATGGATAAATGGGCATGGTAAGTGTATGTATATAATTGGCTTAAATATGGAGACGGTCTCTATATTTTAGGATACATTCAAGCTTAAGGGAAGTGTAAGTCTGAAGCTGAGAATTTCTAGGAACTGAGAAGTACCCCAGAGCTAGGGCAGACAATGGGAACCAGGAAAAAAAAAAAGAGAAAAGACAGGAGGTTGGGATTCTGATCATTTTTTTTCTGGCCACTGATTAGATTCTGAATGTTGTTAGCTGCTCCATCTCAAAACACTCTTCTTTATTGTTTTTTCTTTTACCTTTCTGGCCATCCCTTCTCAGTCCTCCCTTGGTAACTCATCCTTCTCATTTGGAATATTAAACATGGGTCCCCACAGCTCAGACCAGAGCCTCTTTTCCATAACACATCCAATCCCATGGCTTTAAACATTATCTATATGCAGGGAGACTCCTAAGTTTTTATCCCCAGAATTCTCCTGAGCTCCAAGACCCACATATTCAATTGCCTATTTGACATATTCATGTGGATCTATAATGGTCATAGTAAACATGTTCAAAATGGAGTTTTGACTCATGCCTTCCTAGTCTTCCCCATCTCAATAAGTGACACCATCTACCTAGTTGCTCAGGTCAAAATTTAGGAGTCTTCTTTTCTTCTTCCACACTGTCCCTCTGAGTCAAGTTGAGTTCAGTCGGTCAGTCGTGTCCGACTCTTTGCGGCCCCATGAATCACAGCATGCCAGGCCTCCCTGTCCATCACCGACTCCCGGAGTTTACTCAAACCCATGTCCATCGAGTGGGTGATGCCATCCAACCATTTCATCCTCTGTCATCCCCTTCTCCTCCTGCCCCCAATCCCTCCCAGCATCAGGGTCTTTTCCAATGAGTCAACTCTTCCAGTGAGGTGGCCAAAGTCCTGGAGTTTCAGCTTCAGCATCAGTCCTTCCAATGAACACCCAGGATTGACCTCCTTTAGGATGGACTGGTTGGCTCTCCTTGCAGTCCAAGGGACTCTCAAGAGTCTTCTCCAACACCACAGTTTAAAAGCATCAATTTTTCGGCGCTCAGCTTTCTTCACAGTCCAACTCTCACATCCATATATGACCACTGGAAAAATCATAGCCTTGACTAGACGGACCTTTGTTGGCAAAGTAATGTCTCTGCTTTTTAATATGCTGTCTAGGTTGGTCATAACTTTCCTTCCAAGGAGTAAGCGTCTTTTAATTTCATGGCTGCAATCACCATCTGCAGTGATTTTGGAGCCCCCAAAAATAAAGTCTGACACTGTTTCCACTGTTTCCCCATCTATTTCCCATGAAGTGATGGGACCAGATGCCATGATCTTAGTTTTCTGAATGTTGAGCTTTAAGCCAACTTTTTCACTCTCCTCTTTCACTTTCATCAAGAGGCTCTTTAGTTCTTCTTCACTTTCTGCCATAAGGGTGGTGTCATCTGCATATCTGAGGTTATTGATATTTCTCCCGGCAATCTTGATTCCAGCTTGTGCTTCTTCCAGCCCAGCATTTCTCATGATGTACTCTGCATATAAGTTAAATAAGCAGGGTGACAATATACAGCCTTGACGTACTCCTTTTCCTATTTGGAACCAGTCTGTTGTTCCATGTCCAGTTCTAACTGTTGCTTCCTGACCTGCATATAGGTTTCTCAAGAGGCAGGTCAGGTGGTCTGGTATTCCCATCTCTTTCAGAATTTTCCACAGTTTATCGTGATCCACACAGTTGAAGGCTTTGGTGTCATCCATAAAGCAGAAATAGATGTTTTTCTGACACTCTCTTGCTTTTTCGATGATCCAGCGGATGTTGGCAATTTGATCTCTGGTTCCTCTGCCTTTTCTAAAACCAGCTTGAACATCTGGAAATTCACGGTTCATGTATTGCTGAAGCCTGGCTTGGAGAATTTTGAGCATTACTTTACTAGTGTCTGAGATGACTGCAATTGTGCAGTCGCTTGAGCATTCTTTGGGATTGCCTTTCTTAGGGGTTGGCATGAAAACGGACCTTTTCCAGTCCTGTGGCCACTGCTGAGTTTTCCAAATTTGCTGGCATATTGAGTACAGCACTTTCACAGCATCATCTTTCAGGATCTGAAATAGCTCAACTGGAATTCTCCCTCCACTCTCCCTTAATTCATCACCAATCCTGGGGACTCCCTGGCAGTCTAGTGGGTTAGGATTCTGGTGCTTTCACTGCTCAGGGCCAGGCTCAATCCCTGGATCTCTAGAGGACTAAGATCTCTACAAGCCATGCACCACAGCCCCCACCCCCCAAAAAAACCCACCAATTCCACCATCAAAGGTTCACCATCTCTCTCCACTGCTGTTCCTTAGTCTGAATCACTATCATTGCTTAACTGTATTACTTTTTTTCCATCTGAAGTAGACCTTCCTTACTGTGGTTACTTTTCATCACATCACTAGATTTCCTCTCTTCATAGCACTTATCACAAACTGAGTTCCTGAATCGCTTTCTCCAACCAGAATGTAAGCCCTGTTAGAGCAGGACCCTCTCTTGTTCATTCCTCAACTGTTTATCACAGGCCTGCTAGGCTATGGTTCCTACTGTAGGAGCTGGGGGGGAGAGGTGTGTTATGGAGAGAAAGGGTGTGGCAAGAATTGCCCTTTAAACTTGAGAAGTACAGATATGGAAGGTGGATCTTGCCTGGGTCATGGACTCCGAAGTGTTGACTACAGAGAGTAGATGAAATTGTGGCTGATGACTTGCGACCAGTTGCCACAGTGTAAACTGTGAAGCAAAGAGGAAAGTGTCATGAGACTGGGGGCTGGGGTCACCTGGAATGCCAGCTCCAAAATCCCCAAAGGACCATAATATCCAGTGAAACTGCTATGGCCCCCTACTGTCATCACAGGAAATCCCCTAATCCTAATCCCCATCTTATGCCAAAGCCTTTGACTGTGTGGATCACAATAAACTGTGGAAAATTCTGAAAGAGATGGGAATACCAGACCACCTGACCTGCCTCTTGAGAAACCTGTATGCAGGTCAGGAAGCAACAGTTAGAACTGGACATGGAACAACAGACTGGTTCCAAATAGGAAAAGGAGTACGTCAAGGCTGTATATTGTCACCCTGCTTATTTAACTTATATGCAGAGTACATCATGAGAAACGCTGGGCTGGAAGAAGCACAAGCTGGAATCAAGATTGCCGGGAGAAATATCAATAACCTCAGATATGCAGATGACACCACCCTTATGGCAGAAAGTGAAGAGGAACTAAAAAGCCTCTTGATGAAAGTGAAAGAGGAGAGTGAAAAAGTTGGCTTAAAGCTCAACATTCAGAAAACTAAGATCATGGCATCTGGTCCCATCACTTCATGGGAAATAGATGGGGAGACAGTGGAAACAGTGTCAGACTTTACTTTTTGGGGCTCCAAAATCCCTGCAGATGGTGATTGCAGCCATGAAATTAAAAGACACTTACTCCTTGGAAGGAAAGTTATGACCAACCTAGATAGCATATTAAAAAGCAAAGGCATTACTTTGCCAACAAAGGTCCATCTAGTCAAGGCTATGATTTTTCCAGTGGTCATATATGGATGTGAGAGTTGGACTGTGAAGAAAGCTGAGCGCCGAAAAATTGATGCTTTTAAACTGTG